GCACCAATGTCGCAAACTTTCTTAACATACCCGTAAACACAAACTGTCAATTACTGAGTCAAGCGAACCCATACAATGAAGCCACTTAAGCCATTTTGTCGCAATAGCTTGGAAAGAAAAAATAAAACTGGCTGTTAACAGTTTTCATATGTTTCAAAATTACTAAGTAGAGATTGACAGACTATTCGTTTATTTTTCTATTATTGATAAAGTAACTTCTTAAGTATAAGTAGTTGAAAAATACACCAATCCATTTTCTCTCTCTCTCCCTCTCACGCACACACAAACACACACTGAATACCAGTTAGAGTTGATGGGTGTGACAGGTGTGGTGACACCAAAACAGATGTCTTGACTGTGTTTTTCGTGTTGGAGCACAGTTGCTCAGGAAGTCTGTGTTTAAGTTTTGGTGAGTAAAAGGCTACTATTTTATTCGTCTGTTGTGTAGCAACAGGTGTGAGTTTGATCTGCATGGGTGATAGCATTGGCTGATAGCTTAAGTCAGTGTGTATGACTGAATATTACACATGTGATCAACATTTTCATGAATACAGAGATTATTCAGTCCCTCTCAGATAGATTATTATCAGTGTCTGCCTGTCATACTGCATCCATTTGGAATTATATTTAGCTTTCTGTTTTTATGCAGTGAGCACAAACCACAACAGATTTGTTCATTGATAAATTTTAGGTGACTTTCCCCTTTAGCAACTTGACACATCTGAATGTAGCGTGAAAACTGTGCTTTTATTTTTACATTTTAAAGTCTTCAGTCTCCCTTGTGATGTGCTTACCACGACTGCCATTTCCGAATTTCATGGAAAGATTTATCGAAAAAGAGGAACATGTTTATTTTTGTCATGTTTGTTTCTGTCTGGAAAGTCCAAAATGTTCACGCAAGAATATAGAATAAAGTTATTTTTGCTCTTACTAAAAGGTCCATAACCTATTATTTGATGTGAGCCATCAAATCCTATGTTTAGTGTGTTTAACTGTAATTAGTGATTAAAAAAGGTTATAACATTAAGTATGGCATTTCTAAGAATATCAAAACATAAAAATTAAAGTTTTTCAATAAATATGCACGAATCTTAATACCTGTTAACAAGTTATGCAATCTGAAATCTTGTCTCAATTTCTGCAACACAATTACTGTATTTGGTGTTAAGCTAAAACAGCACCAGCAGAGGGCTCAGTGTGACACACTAAGCAGTGACACTAAAACTGTTTTTTGAAGTGGTTTCTGGCTTGTCTGAAGGAAAAAAAACCTACTACTCTTTTGCCCTCATTGGACAGTTATATGACATCTTATGAGGAATTGCACACTGATTTTTTTTTTCTGTAAAATCGTATCCATTATCCAGCTCCATTTGCAACAAACAGAAAAAAGCATCATAAGATGAAAACTCCAAACTGTAACCTTTTATGTTTTACTGCTCTATTTAAATCCAAATACTTTGAATGACCAGAATGTAACAATGTTGCAGCTCAAATAAGGCAGAAACAGTTAAACATATTGTTGAACTTATTACTATATGAAAGAACATTAGATTTCATTTTGCTTGCTTATTTATTTACTTTGCTCTCATGTTAGTAATTTAGTTTGAGTTTTTCCACAACGTCAGAAAAAACACTAAACAATAAAAATTAAGCTATAAAAACAAGTCAAGCTACACACGCATAAAGAGCTTTTCAGTGTGACAAAGAGAAGGCTGTACATTAAAATTTGTTGTTCAACAGTTAAAGAGAAATCAAACAAGTTAAAATCTATATAGGTGAAACCCACATTTTGACATGAAATGCATACTCTGTTTATCTTCTGTGGAAATTTTCATTACAGTAAACTTCTTCAGATGTTGTGAAGTTTTCATACTCTGGTTCATCTTCACCTGCATCGTCATAGTTGTTACAGGCACTCTGTTGTTTGTACCTCACAACTTCTTCATTTCCGTAGATCTATTCAGAGACCAATGAACAACACATGATGTTATGTCATTTTTTAAAGCAAACATTTTTTAACAATTTGAATTCT